AATTTCCAACAATTTCAAGCATTTAAGCATTTTAAGTTTGGTTTAATTTCTCATTCACCAAACAAAAAATTCCACTTAAACAATCACTTAAATTGGTCACAACCAATTTCGAATTTTCCAACAAAACCATGTTTATTCTTTGTTACAGCAAAAAGGACAAACAAACATAGACATAGCAGAGGACAAACAAAAGGATTTTGGTCTTACAATACAAAGAGACATAGCACACAATACATCATCAATGAAGACAACAGAAAAACTCCGTTTATTCTTTGTTGGCAGAAAATAGGACAAACAAACATAGACAGAGCAGAGGACAAATACCAACAAATTCCATAGTGCATGGGTACATTCTGCAGCCCCTAAAGTGCGACGAAAAGAACAAACTTAATGCAAACAACTATACCACACATTGAAATAGCCTCCTGGTAACTAGTAATCAAATGATAGCGTCTTCTGTACCTTGAAGGCAGTGGAACCTCTCAAACTTTGAATTTGTGTGCCCTCTTCCTCAACAGGATCTACATGCCAGTTCAGTTGATTGACACCAAATGTCAGTACAGCAATACTCTCTTCTGCCTCTTTTGATTTGGTCGATTCTTGGTCGACCCCAGGCGGAGTCTCCATATACTGCGCCAATGCCTCTTTCACGTCTTCTTTGTACACTAAGCGAATCCCACATCCTCTTGGCTTAATCCATGCCGCATCCATTGCACTAATTGTAAGACATCCCTCTATTTTAGTCCAATCATCTGACTGAAATTTTGGAAATAGAAGCTGGAAAAGATGGAGTGATATGTAGCCTATCCACACATGAGCAGATTCATGGTTCTCTTCCAGCTTAGTGGCAGTTTGGGTGATATCAGCAGTGAACTCTTCATGATCCCGGCTTATCAATTTGAATGTGACCCCTATTTTTGATTTTGACACCAGATGCTCAAAATTGATAGAAATTGCAATCCCAATGACTTTCTCATGCCAATCTAGAGTTAGAGGGATGGTTACCGAACAGCCCATCTTTTGGTAACTGAACCACTCTGGAACCTCACTTCCAGGAATGAGTATACTAAATCGACCATCGACAATAGGTTGTCCCTGTAACAAGAATGAAGTGAAATTAACACTTTCAGAGTTTTTATAACTACATTTTTACAAGTCTTGATACATTATTGATATAAAGGTGCTTAAATAATTTGTGCAGTGGATTGGAAAATCTACACATACATTCCATGAATTTATCATTAACTTGTTATCAAAATTTAAAGAAGTCATCACCTCATACAAAAGATAGATTATGATGTTCAATATATTCTTGTAACTTGTAAGCCTTACATCTCTACATACTGTCGCAGGTTCACTTTTAGTCAGTTTTTCTATAGATTCTTGTTTAAACGTACTACATTACAACCGTACGAAGTAATTGAGGATCTTTTCATTTTAAAAAAGAAGGTGGAAACTTGCCCCCTGAGCACTGCAGAGATACCTATCCACCAACCACTTATCCAATTTTAAACTTAGTAATGTATTAAAATCCTGCGTTTACTCAGACATGGAATCAGCATTGATTTAGTAAGCTAATTACTAAAAGTAATCTATGTGGTAAGAGAATTGCTCTAGCACATGTACTGAAAAGGAGAGAATTTGGAGACCAACCTGAAGTAGAGAGTGAAGCAACTTATCAGCAGCATTATGGTTCTCCTCGTTTTTGACCAGTTCGAAGCAATTGAGAAATGAGACCTTCCACAAGAAGGCATGCTTTACAGAGAGATCAGCCAGACTTTGTAATGAACGGCACTCATCTGCATTCAGTACAGCTATACTTTCTGGAAGATCCGGCAGTGATTCAAGTCTTGTGCAACTTTCCAGTTTTAGGATTTTGAGTCGAGGAAGTTCAGAAATTTTTGCAGGAAACGCTACAAAATTATTCCCGCTCAGATCTAACTCTTCCAAAGAGGACAAGCTGGCAAGATCAGCTGAAAGTTCCTCAAGTAGATCGCAGGAACTGAGATCCAATTTTTTTAAGGAACATAAACCTGATAAAGATGGTCTAGGTGTAGGCAAAGGATCTTTTGTCTGGTTGCTACCAGCGAGTCCTAGTTTTTGCAGAGGTAACACACCAGATATAGAAGAGACCGAGGACCCCAAATCAGCCGGAAAAAGAGAACTCCGAGATTTTGGCCGCTTGCATCTACTGAATGATAGAACATTCAGGTTCGTCAAACATGTAATGGATGGCGGTGGTTGTGTAATAGCCGTTCCATCGACAAGAAGTTCTTCCAAGGATTTAACTTGTCCAAGGTTTTCTGGCAATTTTTCAAGCTTCGAGCAGTCAGAAAGATTGAGAGTATGTAAACATTTCAACTCACAAATGCTGTCTGGAAGACTTTTTAGGTTCTTGCACTTGCTGAGATTTATCAAAACGAGGCCTGTAATGTTGATGATTGAATGGGGTAGCTCTTTTATTGCAGTCCCCTCCAAATGAAGCTCCGACAAGCATTCCATTTCCCCAGTCACTTCTGGAAATTTTTCTAGTTTCACACAGTCCCAAAGAACAAGTGTCATCAGAAGTTCTAAATGGATACTAGCTGGTAGAGTCTTTAGTTTAATGCAGTGTGCCAAATTTAAGTATACGAGCTTTTTAAGATTCCCAAGGGACGGGTGAATCTCTTCCAAGCTCTTGCAATTACTGAGATCCAATCTTTCAAGATTTGGAATTTTGCTGAAATCTGGAGTTTTCACCAATTTTTTAGAGTAACTGAGATTGATGAACTTCAACTTATTCTGCCCAATTGAGAAGACTATGTTAGCTCTTCATATTCAAATGAAGCATTCATTACGTAAAAGTTGAAACTATGATTAGAAAGAAAAATTAGTCTCATACCAATTGTGCCTTTTCTAGTCCTCCAAGGCGTTCAATATGGCTATGGGACAGTTTCAATCCAACGAGCTTTTCTCCTTGAAAACTTTGAGGCAGAGTCCACATTTGATACTTATGCAAATCAAGCCAATGCAAGTCACTTGGTAGAGAAGCTTGCATTTGCTTAATGTCTGCATTGTGGATTTTGAGTAGCCTCAGGTTTTTCATATTTGCAAAGGCTTTCGGGCTAATTTTAAAGCTCTCTAATTCTGCGAAGTCCAGATGTATGCCCTCAATTTCTTCTGTGTCCTATATATCATAGACAAATATCGTGGTTGGTAGGTAAGTTTCAACATTATATCACTTGCCTAATACCTTAGTAAACTTAGTAAAAGCTTCTTCAATATCAAATGAGAACAAGTTCAATTCTTACCACATTTTTTGTTAGTACATCGCAAATATCCTTAGGTAACCACAACCTACTGTGTCTCCCAGGCTCGTTAGGATGTGGACGGCGCACAATGTACCAACCCATCTCTTGTAACAAGTCATGCATTTGAAGCCTGTTATCAGTGGTTACAGTTAAAAGAGATTTTTGAATCAGATCACTTACTCCGATCTTAGCTCGTAGACCGAAGCTGTCAAGTTTTCTCATCACATATTCTTTCTTCTTCCCCTTAAAAAAACAAGCAATATCCAGGAATATCTTCTTCTCCATGTCATTTAGTGCATCAAAACTCACTTTAAGTTTCTCCAAGATACCATCTTCCGGAATTTCTTCCAATCGATCCAATGCATTTTCCCATTCATCAATATCTCGACCGTGTAAAAAAGATCCCAACACCTTAAGAGCTAAAGGAAGACCACGAGCATATCTAACTGCCGCACGTGCAAGCTTTTCAAATTTTTCTTTGGGAAAACCTTCCTTAAAGGCAAATTTGCTAAACAGCGTCAATGCTACATCAGTCCCCAAGACACTGACCTCATATACTTCATCAACTTCACGTCCAGAAAGTAACTGCTTGTTTCTTGTTGTTATGATGATTCTACTTCCGGGACCAAACCAATCATGCCCTCCAGCCAATCGGTCTAAATGCTCGAGTTCATTGACATCATCAAGAACAACAAGTACCCTTTTGTGACGTAACCTTGTCAACAGCATAGACGTGTTATTGTAGAGATTTGTGGTCTTCTCCATCAGTGTGTCGGAGAGTAATTTTTCTTCTAATGAACTCAGTCCTAAAGTTTTGGAAGATTCTCTTACATTGTCAAGATAGCTACTGCCTTCAAATTTGCTAAATATTTGATCGAAAACAGCCCTGGCGATAGTTGTTTTTCCGATGCCACCCATACCCCATATACCTATCATGCGAACATCTTTAGTAGACTCGAGATTCAACAGGGACATCACCTGGCCAACATGCGACTCTACTCCAATCAGGCTTTCTTTAACTCTAGATACTGTATGGCTCAAATTGTTCAAAATTTCTAGAGCAATTTTTCTGATGCCCTTTGACTCGTGCCTGAAGATCATGAAGAAGAAGGAAAAGGAAAATTACAATAGACATGGGAAATATTGGTAAGTTTTGCGTCACATAATAATTCAAGATATTTATATGTCACCACTGCTGACAGGAATGTTTGAGCAATAATATTCCACAAAAATTATCTCTCACCTTTAAACTTCAATCATATTGCCTCTTTGTGGCCCTAAGTTATAGCATATAAATGCATTTTATCACAAATTATGAACAGAGTGTATGTTGTTAATTCTACCGATTTAGTATCCTTCTTCATTTGCATATATTACACATTTACACTGCTGACTATATGAACATGTGATGTATTATACATTACCAAAATATACTACTGAATAAAATCCTAGCTAGAATCTCAAATCCATCACGAATCCTAATCAAGTTATAAAGTAGCAACGAAACAAAGCCGGATAAGCTTGAAAATAAGATAGTCTAATTCCCTTTCATTACATATCACATACATACATAAACAACTACAAACATTATAGCATGAACTTCTGTGTTATATACGAGATATAGTGTTGAATCTGCTATTAGTGCCTAGAATCGATTTTATATCGAAATATAGACCGACATATATATAAGGGTTTTGACTACTCCTTTTAATAAGGTTGATCTTTTAAGATGGAACTACAAGTTTTACTATGGTATTGGAGCTCATTATGCTCCAATGAGCAATTCAATCCGATTAAAACTCAAAATGAGTACACATATTTCAAGACTAATATGCTCGCCTCAAGCGAGGCACTATCTCACCGGAGCATGTTAAAAGAAAATCTCATATTGGTCAAATATTGAAATATAGATCAACATAAAAGGGTATAAACTATTTCTCTTAATAAAGTTGACATTTTAAGATGAAACCTCAAGTCTTAATATTTAGTCCATATCATAAAAAGAAATGTAAAAGTTAGTAAAATTAACATTCAAGCTTGGCCAAACAAGTCTAATCATAAAAGTCTTCATTTTTAGTTCAGAAACAGGAAAATTCTTTATTTCTTTTATTTGTGGTACAAAAAGGGGAGTGTTGGGTAGACATGGGCATATTTAGGTGGCATGCCGAGCAGGTTGTGTTCGATAGGAACAGGCGAGTTCAAGTGGCACGCCGACCCTAGCCCAGCACACACTACAAATTAATAGGGTTTTGAGTGCTCTAAATTGTGACACTTCAAAATTGTAGTGAGGTATCAAAATTATATTTAGGATACAGTGCAAATTGGAGATTGTAGATCTGGACTCCCAACAACCCCACTCTACAAGGGAGATAGCAGCAGAAAGCAACCCTTATTACCAGATCCACAACCTGGCATAAAAGACTCAAGGATGATGCAACCAAGGTTGAAGGAATACAAATTGTAGCGATCAAAAGTCCTCCATATGTAACTTTTATTGTAATATTTAGCAGAGTATGATGTTTGTAAAAATAAAAGATAATCCAGCATCATCATCTTTAAACAAAAACACAAAAGAGTTATCCTAAGTTAACTAAGTTAGTGTATTTGAACAGATGCAAAAAAATAAAAAATCACGTTTCATTATCAACAAACCAGTAGAAAATGCTCTCTGTGCTAAAAACATATGCTAATAGCACTTCAGTATCGCATGGCAAAACTCACCAAAAATTCGTAAGGCCGTCGATGATATTAAGTGCTTATAAATTCATGAGACAACAACATGGGATTCAAAAACCATGGTTGCAAAATACAGTAGATTACTCGAAAAATTATGGGCATAATTGAAACTTATTATTGAAAAAAAAAATGGTAAGAAAGAGTAATTAAGCAGTATTGTGTTGGTAATTTACCCATCAGCCGTCTTTTGAATATCCCATCCAGAAACACTAGCAGCTTCCGTCAAAGCATTCCTCCATCTGTCAATCTTCAATTTATCCATATTAGGATCATTTTCATATTTATCAAAAGCTATTTTGTAACTCCCTTTTTGCTTCCTAACATCAGAAGGTTCCACATAATAGAACACAGGATAAATCTTTTGGCCAAATTTCTGATTACATTCAACGATTTTAACAATCTCTTCTAAACACCAAGTGGAATCGGCGTAGTCTTTTGAGAAGATAACGAGTGCAACTTTGGACATTTCAATGGCTTTTTGGAGTACTGGGGAAATGGAACTTCCTCTCTTGAGTTCAATGTCGTCTTTGAAAGTGTAGATTCCCTTTTCGTGTAAGGTCGTGTAGAGGTGATCGACGAAACCTTTACGGGTGTCTTCACCTCTGAAACTCAAGAAAACGTCGTAACTCCATACATGGGCGACGGCGTTGGTAGTGGAGGACATTTTTGGGTGCTGCTGGTATTTTTGCTGGTTGAGTTTATAGTTATATCGAAGTGCGAGGAAATGTGCTGTCTTTGATTTAGTTTATATAGAAGAGCGAGCAAGCGAGTTGTATTGTCTTTGAATCTTTGATTTAGCTCATATGCAAGCATTCAAAATAGAAGCATACTATGGCCCTGTTTGGTAGGGATTAGATTTTTCTACAGTAAATCAATTCTCATTTTCAACCACACATTTTTCAATAAAATAATATTTTCCATCACATCAATAATTTTTTCTTCTTTTTCAACCACAATTTCCCATCATATCACTATTCAAAATCAATTCTTTCCCAAAAAATCTCTCCCAAACAAGCTCTATACGTACAACGTTACATTCATCCATTTTCATTTTAATTTTATTTTTATTTTTAAAATCAATGTCCCGAATTTTGAAAATACCAAATTGTCAATCATTACTGTCAAGTGTAATAGTATAAGTACCATAATTGTTCAAAATAAGCCACACACTCCCAATAGCCTAATAAAAGTAACGAAGAGAAGCAAATATTACATTATGATTGTGAAATACACTAATTAGCCTAATAAAAGTAATGAAAATAAGCAAATATTACATTATGATTGTAAAATCCACAAATATAACGAATCATTGATCACCAAGCCTTCGTTTGGATTTTCTTTTAGGTTGTTAAAAAGTTACTTCTTAATGTCAAACATTAATTTTAGTTACGTCTTTCATAGGAATGATAGGATCCACACATTATTTACTTATCTACAACTCATTTCTACGATCAACTTATAATTTTAGCAAATAAAAAGGAAGCCCACACACGTCATCTTCTTTTATATGAATTAATTGTCACTATAATGACTCGATGAATTTGGCATTTTCTTTTCTTTTATTGACGGTCGACTCCTTTCCCTATTTTTTCTCTCGTTTTGAATCATTTGAGATTTATAATACCCAATAATAGTGATATGACGTGATTATTACATATTTCTTCCATTTCTAGCCCCTGTTTGGTGCACATTTTGGGTCAAGAATGCATTTTTTGTTGATGTGATGGGAATATGCGGTTGAAAAAGAAGGAAAAGTTATTGATATGATGAAAAATATTATTTTATTGAAAATTGTGTAGTTGAAAATGAGCTAAAGAATGAAAATGAAAAAAATAAGAACAATGCTTGGACTACAGAATTTTTTTACAGGGGGGTCTACAGACAACACACATGAAGGGGCCCGTGCAAATTTTTTTTAAAAAAAATACATGTGGGACCCGCCCTACTGTGAGGGCATGTAAGGGCCCTTGTGAAACTATCCCTTGTATATGGGGAATTATTCAAAAAATAATGTGGCTCAAACATGACCTAATATTTCTTCTTTATTTCTACAATGATATATATGTAATAGACGTGATAATTGATCCAACTTTCCGCAAGAAATATAAAAATGGAGGATTCCATGACGTCTCTTAGGGCAGCTCGTGCTTTGAATTTCATAGGGTGCATACTACTCTTTTGTAGTTTGTTCGCGTGAAATTTGCAAGTGTATGAGAATATTGACTAATAAGTAAAGAGCATCGTCCAAAAGGAATAAACTTTAATTTGAATTGTATAAATTCATTATCAAAATTCGAATGTAAATGTAACAAAAGAGATACTTTAGTTATTCTAAATTTATATATTAATTATCTGAAATTGTATTTAAATAAAATACAGATGTATGTGTTGGAGTTCCGAATTCACCTATTCCAATTCTCGACTTATGTAATCTAGTGTGATTTATGTATATATAATAATCGATAATCCAACTTTATTTAACTATCTCTCTCAAGGTATGTTAAATTTATCTAAGGACGACTCGATCATATTCCTAATATTAATTCATATGCAAGCACCAACATATAACTTATTTATAATGTCGACTTGCATTCAAAATAAGCCACACACTTCCAATAATCCAATAAAAGTAATGAAGAGAAGCAAATATTAATTGTGAAATCCACAAATATGTAGGAATATGGATTATTATAATGAATTATTGATCTCCCAAATTCACCTTAATCCTTTGTTTGGATTTTCTTTTATGTTGTTAAAAAGTTACCTCTTAACGTCAAACATTAATTTTAGTTATATCTTTCATAGGATCCACAAACGCTATTCCCTTATCCATAACTCATTTCTACGATCGACTTCTGATTTTAGCAAATAAAAAGGAAACCTACACGTCATCTTCTTTTATATGAATTAATTGTCACTATAATGACTCGAAGAATTTGGCCTTCTCTTTTCTTTATTGACGGTCGAACTCCTTTCCCTATTTTTTTTCCTCTCATTTTGAAATCACTTGGAATTTGTAATACGCAATAATAGTGATAGGACGTGATTATTATATGTTTCGTCCATTTATAATATTCTTTATTTCCACAATGATATATATGTGGTTGATGCGAGAATTGATCCAACTTTCAACAAGAAATATAAAAATGGAGGATTCCATGATGTCTCTTGGGGCCACTCATACTTTGAATTTCCTAAGGTGCATACTACTATTCTGTAATTTCATATGAAATTCGCAAGTGTACGAGATCGTTGATAAATATATATTTAGTGAGCAAAGAGTATCGTCTTCTGGTGAATAAATTTTAATTTGAATTGTATGAATTCGTTATCAAATTCGAATGTAAACGTAACAAAAGAGGTACTTAGTTATTGTAAATTTATATGTTAATTATCAAAATTATATTTAACAAAAACCTGGGATGTATGTGTTGGAGTTCCGAATTCACCTATTAATATCATAATTCCAATTCTCTACCTTCGTTCAATTGAGTCCTTTTCTCGTGCAATTTTCCTCATTTGATAATCTAATTCCATCCAATTGACTCTATAAGGTCTTCAATAAACGTTTTATGATCCGCATCAATTATTGAATATTTACAATTTGATCATCGAACTTGAGATTTTCTTATGTGTTCGCCTGCTTTCGTTCATTTCTTCCAATTTAGCTTCCAAACATTGATTTGCGCCTAACAAACAATAAACATACGGGATTAGGCCATAATCAATCAAAAGAACTTCTAAATGTCTATATTTAAATGCCTAGATAAATTCATAAAATACACTTATCAAACACACTCAAACTTAAACATTTGTTTGTCTTTCGTAGGCAGACGTTGTTGATCAAGTCTAGGGAAGCCCTCAACTTATTTGACATAGATTTCATATCGGCAACAATAATATACATTAACTTCTTGTTTAGTTGAAGTAAATTTATTGTACACAAACATGAGTCTGACATTGTTGATCTTACTTTGTAATTGTATAACATTAAGACTGCTCATATGTAACATTATAAATATTGTTAATATATGGAGCAAGTTCAATTGCTCAATTGTTTTTAGTTCCACCATCAAATTCTTCCATTTAGTATGTATTATTAAAATTTTCTATTTCTTATGTTGTTTTTTCGTTTAAAATTTTATTTCTAGTTAAATTATGCCATCACTAAATTCGTTCCATTCGTCTTCCGACAATTTTTAAGTGTTGAAAATGTGTCACTCTCTTTCCCGAAAAATCTACTACATAACATATTATTAATATTCGACTCTCAAAATCGTAACTCATTTGTACAAAGACCTTTTGAGAAGCACCAATTAGAATAACTTTTGTTAAAAGTGTAATTGACACAAAATCTCTGTGTTCTTTTCCTCTACTGTAGAAGGGTCTTGCTAGGGGTACATCACCCCTTCCATAAGGGGTGACATAATGGCCAAGTGATGTATTTTCATTGGAGGGGAGCCTCGGCGCCCCTCTAATGAGGAGGCGCCACTTGGCCATTATGTCACCCCTTATGTAAGGGGTGATGTACTCTTAACATTATTCATTGTAGAATATTTCCACGTCCTTTCATTTTGGTGAACCCCTAGACGGTCCAAACCTTGGGAGACCCCTCTACTGTATACTAAGTTATTTTTTTATTTAATTATTTTATTTGAGAAAATATAAATTTACCATTTGTCCTTTCATTGCAACGAAATTAAATATTTGGGATTATGGTAGGCTTAAATAAATATTATACTAAAAAATGTAAAGTATTGGATCTTAGGTGCAGTTATCCATTTTTAATTTTGACCCTTTTAAGTGAGTTTAACACGTAAACTATGCTTTAGGCCATCTAGATGAGTTTTCACCAAAATAAAAGAATAGAAGGGTATTCAATAGTAGAGAATTTTGGGCAATTATATTTCGTTAAAATATGGAGAATTTACAAAAATGTCCAATTCCAAACTTATCAATTGAAAAATATTTAATTTTGATAAGTCTTGAAAAAATGGTCAAAATTGGTACCAAATTGTCTATTTACCCTCAATGAGAAATGAAGCAATTCTTTTTTCAATTTGTCACGAATTACGAAAAGGACAAGTAGTTTCCACGAGAAAATACAATAATATTAGTCAATATTTAAAGGATTCATTTGCATTATCTATTAAGTATTGAGCAATAATTTTGGGAAAAATGAATAAGATGGAGTAGAAAGACCATGAACATTAAAAAAATAACTAGATGCTTTCAATTTATAAGAAAATCATATAATTTCATTTTGAGAAATTTAATCTCATCTTAATTTGCGAGTTGATTAGCCTTCCCACAATTCTCGATGGAAAGTAATTTTTTTTTTTTTTTTGAAATCTTATTTTTGTTGATGAGTTGTGTTTAATAATTGTTGCTCTTGACATTTCATGACGTTCTCGACATTAAGATCATATTTATCTCGACCCTTTACATCTCATTTATCTGGAACGTGATTTTGTTCTGAATATGAGAGTTCTCTACTTTTCATAGAGTTCTTGATATTTTAAGTATAGTTCTTGAGATATCACAAATTTTTTATTTACCTACATATAGGAAGAAGTGAGCATTTAATGCATGATTGACATGATTTGTTTTAAATAAGTACTATAGGTTATGTATCGAGTTATTATTTGCCAATACAATTTTTAA